AGGTAGCAGTTTGATAGTATGCACCTATGAACCCTGACTGACCCCCAGGGGCTGATGGGTTGGACCAAAAAGGGTTGAATTGACTGAAATTTCAAACATCTTTTTCTCAAGACCCAGATATGGTAGAATCAAATACTCTTCATAGATGGTCGGGTCTGTAGGTGCTTTACCGAAATTGTGAATTTCTTGACCCTGGGGTCTCACGTTTCCCCCTGGGGAGGGGGTAAACTTTACTATAGTTTATATAGGGAAATCACATTTTGGACCAACATTTGTTTAATTTCCATTGGAAGTAATTCAATTTGGGTTAGCATTATCAGTATTAGGTAGCAGTTTGATAGTATGCACCTATGAGCCCTGACTGACCCCCAGGGGCTGATGGGTGGGGCCAAAAAGGGTTGAATTGACTGAAATTTCAAAAATCTTCTTCTCAAGACCCAGATATGGTAGAATCAAATACTCTTCATAGATGGAAGGGTCGTAAAGTTTATGACCCTAGGGTCTCACGTTTACCCCCCTGGGGAAGGAGGGGGGGCAAAATTTATTATGGTTTATAATGGCAAATGATACTTTGAATATTACATGTTAATAACTTGATTGGAATTATAACCTTGAATTGACAGTTTGATACTTTGAAAATTTTGAGCCAGCCCTACCCCAAAGGGCTGTAGGGTGGGGCTCAAAGGAGTCAGTGTGCTAAAATTTCTTCATTTTCCTTGTTAAGAATCAGAGGTACTAGTTTCAAATCCTTTTTAGTCTGAAATCTGTATGCTAGATATTGAATAAGGTGGTTTTATTGTTTTTTGTCACTTTGAATAATATTTCTGTTCATGTTAAAAACAAAATCAACTCTCTGTATAAATATATCAGCTGACCGTTAAGGCCCATGGGCCTCTTGTTCATAATATTTACACATGTGCTGAGTACAAAATTAGACTACTTGAAAAGCTAGCTTTTTTAAATGTGAAGCCCACATAGTCCAATTCATCATGTATATGCCAATTTTAGAGCTGTATTTTTTTACTTTTGATACATGTAATATTACACTACTGTACACTGCTACCTAAGCATCCAAGTTTCAGGCTGCTGGAAAATCTATTTTTGGTGATAAAAATGCTTACATACTTTGATATAAGTCTCAGCAGGTAATGGTTCTTCAGTTTTGGAGACAGGTCTCTTCTGCCGAACTCAAGCTGTTCTTGTCAGGGGGCATAACTCTGCATTCCAGGATGGTAAAATTATCAGGTGGAAGTAGTTATGCACGTCATAAAGGAGGCTGTTATTCCAACCATGATAGAGAAGCTAGTAAAATGAATTAAATCTGTATAATCCATTCGTGGTGTCTTTTACAGGTTCGTGTGAGCTTTACAATGAAAGATGGACGTAAAATGATGAGAATCATTAGCAAATCTATGGACGTCACAAAAGACCGAGCTAAGATGGAGGAGGTGAGTTGAACAGTTTACCAGACATTTAGTAGTAGTAGATATAGTGTAAGAAATGCTTCAGTTTCATAGGCTCTGTAGATCTTAAAATAGTATATAACTTCAGTTTTATATATCTTGAGGGAGAAGAGAATGATCTCATCTTGCTTGGCACAGTGAAAGTGCATCTTATGAAAATGTGCATGAAGAAAGGAATTTTTGATTTTGGGGTATTACACCCCTGTAAACAAAGTTTGAATGCGTAGATAAAATGAAGCGGGGGTATATCTTTGTGAGCTAGCTCACAGTTTCTATAGTTTTGAACTGTACACATATGCATCAGAAAAGGGAAATCCCAAGTTAAGGATTATAATTAAGAGCTTTTGTTTTCGAGGTAATGTAAAGTGTACTTATCAAGCAATGATTGTTTGTGGTTTAAGCTTGATGAAAAATAGTTCAAGTCCTTTCATATTTTTGCGTATTAATTACCCCATGTGATATGTTACCTGACCTTCACCCAAGGTCAAGGCTGTAATAACGTAATGTATTATTTTATATATGCAACGATTTCCCAGTAATAATTCTTCAAAATGTGACAGCTAGGGTACAAATTTTGTTTTTACAATCATTCAGTAATCTTATTATGCCATTTTACAATAACCTCTGATCCAAAACTAGGGGATGAATGTTGCTGTAGTGGGTTTGGCCACAGCACAGCAGACTGCAGACTTGGCTTCAAAGGGCAAGGTCGAAATGGCACGAAATAAACTGTAAGTCATGTTCTTAAAACTCACATACATTTTTATTGTTACACATTGTTATATAATCACTATCATTCCCACCCCATGGTTAAATTTTGGATAATTTCACAGTGTTAAATAATCTCGTAAAGTAAGCCATCACATTTTCTTCATTTATGCTTCAAGTTGAGGGAGAATCAGAATCTCAAACTTGTGATGATTGATTATGTTTACATCCATTTTCCTGAGTGAAGTAGCAAGAATAACATGCTCGCTGAAATTTAATTGTAGCTTATACCTGAGAAACGTCTGATTTAGATTGATATCAAGCATGATTAATTGTTTCTAGATGAATAACTTCTATATAACAACAAGTACAAAAGAAATTATAATCTTCCTTAATTATAATCTGTTAAAGTTATGAATTGTGTTTCATTCTTTTTATGTTAGTTTTACTATATGAAGTGGGATCCATATTGTTAGATTTTAGATAACGGATGCAATGTAAGTTATATATGTAGATATTCCTACTTCTGACCTTGTGATTGAGCTATGTTAAAATATGTTTCCCTCACTTTTCACGACTTGATGAATCAGGAATATGTATTAACAGTTTAAACTACAGTTTTTTAAACGTAGTGATTTTTATGCATATTATTGGAGGTCATCTGTACACTTACAATTGGTTGAAAATAAATTACACTTGTATGATCGTAATTCAATATTTTATCACAATTATAATTGTATTTGCGAAAATATATAATTTACAAGTGATAGGGAATTTGAATACTTAAAATCAGTTTTAAAATTCCTTATAGTTGTTTTTAAAGCATTTCACAAATTCTTATTTAAAAAAAAATCTTAATCGTTCCTGTATTGTTGTTTGTCTTCTGCATTGAAATCAGCCGGTCTATTTATAACACCTAAAACATCAGGGCTTTTTTCATATTCGTCCGATATGTATTAATAGAAGTGTATTTATATTGTCCATGGAGATTTATCTGACAAGATCAATGCACATTTCTGTTGACCATTCGAGTTTAAAAAACTGTAGTTTAATTTATATACAACCAATTGTAAGTGTACAGATGACCTCCAATAGTATGCATAAAAAGCACTATGAATAACGTTTTTTTAATTCACCGACAATCTGTCCCTTTGTCATGACGAACCGATTAGTCGGCAACTGACTGTGTCAATGATCAAAGAAAATAGTGAAATCAGCCTCCCTAAAATAGATAGTGCATTTGGTCCAAACTGGTAAACACACTGGGTCAGGTCAACTGCTGTACATGAGGGGAAACGGCTTTTGTCACGTCCACAACATAGTAGCATCCCGAACTTCAAAGAAATGTTGCAAAGATTTACCGTTGGAAGTTTGGATACGATCAATCCTGAAAGGTTGTAAATAATGATTTTTTTAAAAATATAAATGTATAATTTGTATCCTCACATAATGCATTTTCAATTCAAATAAAGAAAATTGATTCCTAAAGACGTACAAATACAACACCTAAATGTAGAGAGTAGCTTGTGATCTTACTTGGTCCTAGTAAATGTGTATTGCAGCGAGAAAATGCAAGTCAAGAACAGGGTTTGAACCCAGGACCCTCCCAACTCTAGACGAACGTTCTACCAATTGAGCTAACTGGTAGCCAATAATCGACCCAGTCCAATTCCACTACATTCCTCCCTCCTTTCTCTAAGTCTTCAACACCAAAGACATCACTATTTTTACAACCCAGGTTTGGGTATCCCCTTGCTTGGCATTCACCATGTGCTTGAAACAAGGGTTGGTCACAGGTTCCAAATGTAGTAGGAACAGAAAAAGGTACGGCCTAAGTCTAGGGTTCAAACCCTATCCTCCCAACTCGTAGACGGTCGTTCTATCGATTGTTCCTCTGCAGGTTCAGGGAAAGAATTGGCCTATCCCACTACATGTCGTAAAAGGCGACTAAATGTGGGGGGTTGATAGAAAATTAAACAAAATAAAAACCAAACTCTATCAATTGACCTACATGTACCTGCGACCCAGTCCTGTATGGCTACACATGTACTAATATGTCACTCACAAACGTTGCCTCGTCCACTTTATATATTAGGTACCTATACACATATTGTTAGTTACATTATACCAACATTATACGAGTCCTGACTTTTTTTCAAAATAAATTTAGAATAATTTTCTATGGGTATGGTTTACGTTTACAACACAACTGACTATTGCTAACAAAACTGTTAACATTCCTAAAGATTTAGTTCTTAATTTCATGGGTACAGTAATTGTAATTCACAATTTTGTGTAACCACGAACTGGGTGGTCCTAAGATTTTGGGCCCCTTGGAAATATTTGATTTCACAGTATATAAGTAAACGTTACCGATCGTTTTGATCAGTCAATGAAAATAGTCACACTAATGCTTTAACTGTGCTGATTTGCTGAACAGGACCTCAGTGAACCGCATGCTAAACAATGCATGTAATACAGATGAACAAAAAGAGGAGAGATACACCTTCAGGGCGGAATGTGCAGAACTCCACCAGAATCTCAATGACCGACTTAGCTCTGTAAGTATTAGTGTTGGCTGTATAAGGCATCCATCTACCTTTCAGCACCATCCCTTTGTTTTCTCTGAAAAAGATGGTATCATCCCCTTCCATCGTGAACTGCCTGATAAATACAAATTAGCAAGATTATTATTAGCATTTTAAAATCAGATGTACACATTTTTTATAAGTTAAGTTGGTCCAAATTACTGTTGAGCTATTATTTCGTGACATGCTCAACTTTTTCATTTAAAAATCTACTTATCCTGTACGGCTCAGTGGATATTCACTCAATTAGGTCTGGAGCATCCTTGGGCAAAAGGGACTAAATGTTGTCTAAATGTGCGCCCCCGATCTCTTGGAGTCACAGGGTTCAGGGCCTACTAGGGGATTAAGAGTTAAATCCTTCACCTTTTCTGTATGGATGGAATGATTTAAACCAAATCTGATCTAGAACATTGTTAGTTCAAGGGGACCCACCATTGTATAAACAGAGGATGTGACCTCCCACTCCATCCCCTCGGGGCAGATGGGTGGGGCCCAATGTAAGAAATTGGGTCATCACTTGGAAACGGTGGACATACCAACCCTATAACCATGTTCTATACCCATGGCTGACATATCGTTTGACAAATACATTCGTCCTACCAGAGTTTTCCTTGTGATCAATTCTCACCCATTGGTGGGATCCAATTGGGAAATTAGGTTACAGCTTAAAAATTGTCAAAGTCCCCAACCATTATTAACCAGATATGCAGTTGCTGGATACTAATTACCCCCTCCAAACCCTATGATGATCTATACACATTGTGCTGATAATTATTTATTTTGTTTCAGAACCGATACTCGGCAAGAGATTCTGACAACTCCTCCAGGGTGTACAGCAAGATGATGAAACATTCTTCTGCGAGGTTCACAGGAGCTTCCAACTGCAAAAAGAGCAATATCGCCAGTAAGAGGCAGACAACAGACAGCGAAGTCCGTCAGCAATACTACGGCTACATGTCCTAGTGTTGTCCCAGGTCAACAGATAGCGATGTCTGTCAACAATACTACGACTACATTTCCTAGTGTTGTCCCAGGTCAACAGACAGCGATGTCTGTCAACAATACTATGACTACATGTCTTATTATTGTTGCAGTACAACAGACAATGATGTCCATCAACAATACTACGACTACATGTCCTAGTGTTGTCGCAGGACAACAGACAGCGAAGTCCGTCAATAATACTATGACCATATGTCCTAGTGTTGTCCCAGGTCAACAGACAGCGATGTCTGTCAACAATACTACGACTACATATCCTAGTGTTGTACCAGGACAACAGACAGCGATGTCTGTCAACAATACTACGACTACATGTCCTAGTGTTGTCCCAGGTCAACAGACAGCGATGTCTGTCAACAATACTATGACTACATGTCCTAGTGTTGTCCCAGGTCAACATATAGCGATGTCTGTCAACAATACTACGAATACATGTCCTAGTGTTGTCCCAGGACAACAGACAGTGATGTCTGTCAACAATACTACGAATACATGTCCTAGTGTTGTCCCAGGACAACAGACAATGATGTCTCAATGGTCAACAAAAGTAAAATGCTTAGGAAGTGATGTCCTCAAACGACCCTTTCAGCAACGATGTCTATGGTAAAAAATAGAAATACGAATTCTCAGACAAGATTGTCCTTGGTGTTTTAAACACCTTACTTGTTATACCATTCTTCGCGTTGAATAGAAAATTACATGCATTTTACAAATCACCACATACAATCTAACTTTATCTTAACTCATTCACCCCTGAAAACACATTTGAGCTCTTCCAATTCAAAGGTTGGAATAGTTAATTATGAAATGTCAGGGGTGAATGAGTTCATGTACTCAAAATCTGTCAAAGAAAAATACTGGATTCGTCAGGAGTTTTAGTATCATAGTTGTTTGTACTTTAACTTGGATATAACTTAAGTTTTATCACAGTTTCAAAAACTTCACCAAGTAGAATATTGGAAATGCTTTTTTTTTCATTTTTCATTTTGTGTTATTTTGATGTTTATATTATGGCTTATTTCCATTGTTATGTAGAAGTAATATATTTTTTTTGGGATTGTACATAAAACATTGTAACGGTCTATCCTTTTATATTGTTTTTTTAGAGAGAGTGTGCACTATCTGACCAATTTTCTCCAGTGTTTTCTCATTTTGCTTAGCTTGCATAGTCCTCCAAGGAAAACTGATCAAATAGAATCATTCACCGTTTTCACTAGTACCGGCTTACCAGGTGCACTGAAATATTTTCTGCGATATAAATTGTCAGCTTCCCTGATGTATGTTAGAGATTTCGTTGAGTTTGTTGGTGCCATTTATCTGAATATGTTGTTTCTCTGTTTTTAATGAGAATTCTATGTTAATAACATGTAAATGTTTTCGTCATCCTGATGAACATTTCAGTTCGGTTAAAACTTGTGTTAGAAATTCTTTTCAGGTATATATATAGCTAGAATGATTATATGTGATACCTAAATGAAAGAACAGTTTTATAAAATGTTGATTTTAAAGTTCATATATGTGTATTAATTATAAATTTTGTGAAGAAATCCTTTTAAAATGAGAGATAGTTTTAAAGACAAAGTGTTGAGTGTTGTGATTTACAAATTATGAAAATTATACTCATTTGCATATTGTATGCACATTCCTTTACATGCATTGTACTGAAGTAATTCAGGGGTTTTAACAAGAACAGGTAGTAGGCAAAAAGCACTGGCTCAATCCTGATGTTGACCTTTTTTCTGATATATCTCGTATGTAAATTCACAAAAGGTCTGTTCATATAGAAGTTACTGAGAAACCTGTAAAGGTAGGACCGTCCTACTTACACTTTACAATTTAAGGTTGTTACATTGTCCTGTACATATCTCCAATACAGCTTGAGGAAAAATGTACATTTTATTACTGATATACTGTTGAATGTAAAATTTTCACTGCAGTTTAATTCTCAGTTTTCTCACCTGTTGTAATGAGGGTGGATTTATCCTTACTGTGAACTTGAATGAACAACATAACATACTTGGTAATTAAATGTGAAGATCGAAATTAGCACTGAGCAAACAAGGATTATGGTGAAGGATGAAAGTTTAACTGGATGAAAATTTCTTGGTATATATATATTTACTTCTTTGCCCCATATATACACTTAATTCTTTAATTGTTTTTCTCCAAAGGTCTGTGAATGAGGCCATATATAATGTTCAAATTTGAATTCCTTTATTTCACTGAACTTTACAGCTTGATCATCCTTGTTTTAATCACCTACATTATATAAACATAGTGTTCGGGACACTGCGCATGGTGTTCGGGACACTGTGTATATATGGTGTTCGGGACACTGTGTATATATAGTGTTCAGGACACTGTGTATATATATAGTGTTCGGGACCCTGCGCATGGTGTTCGGGACACTGTGTATATATATTGTTCTGGACACTGTGTATATATATAGTGTTCGGAACACTGCGCATGGTGTTCGGGACACTGTATATATGGTGTTGAGGACACTGTGTATATATATAGTGTTCTGGACATTGTGTATATATATAGTGTTCTGGACACTGTGTATATATATAGTGTTTTAATCACCTACATTATATAAACATAGTGTTCGGGACACTGCGCATGGTGTTCGGGACACTGTATATATGGTGTTCAGGACACTGTGTATATATATAGTGTTCGGGACACTGTATATATGGTGTTCGGGACACTGTATATATGGTGTTCGGGACACTGTATATATGGTGTTCAGGACACTGCGCAAAGTGTTCGGAGGAGAATGGACGCAGTTTACAATAACGGTTACCTAACATTGGTAGCAATGTGTACATATTTACTTTGGTAATGTTTTTCATCCTTCAGCATTTGTTTTACGCAATGCTGTACGAGTTTCAATACCAACAGCTTTTTTTCAATTAGACATTTTTAAGAATCTCATTGTTATTACATGATATATAAAACATATTGAGATAATTAATGTTACTCATCGTCCATAATGACGCATTTAATATAGACGTTCAGATCTCCTTTTTTTTCTATGGACCTGTCTTGATACATAGACTGTGCTGATAATTTGATTTTTGTTAGTGCATATATGATTGGTTATTCTTTGATAAATAATTGGTAAAATAATGTTTTAAAACATATCTAAAGGTGACAATTTTAAAAATGTAGAATAACTTTTGATGGGCATCATCAGAAACCTGTTGCTTAAGGACTCCCATATCACTCCCAAAAACTTCAGAGAAGTGCTGGAAACTACTTTCTCAGGCATGGCTATACATGTAGTTTCAATAAATCATTTCTGAAAAGAAACTCATACCTTGAGGGACTTTTAATTGATGAGAAATAATAAAGATGAAACAAACGAAATATAATCAATCACAGTGTTTTTGAGAGTAAAACAGTCAGTGGGGCTAGACTTGGACTCAAACCCTGGACTTCAGATTGATATACTTTAGCTCTAACATTTGCGCTATCTGGTCAACTGAAATTGTTGGGACAAGATAGTCTAGTGGTAGGACTACGGGCTCGTGACCGAAGGGTTGTGCGTTAAGTCACGTCACGGCACTTTATTGTACTTTTGAACAAGATACTTTATTCCACTTGTTCCAGTCTACTCAGCTGTAATGAGTATGTGGTTGGGTAGTGCTTGAAATTGTAAAACGCTAGCTGTGAGCGCCTAAATGGCAGCGCTGGCTGTATGCTCTACAGGGAGTTGAGAAAGATATTTGGTTGTGATAAAGCGGTATATATGAACTTTGATTTATTATTATTAATATTAAATATCTTTTGCAAATGTGCTAGAGTTACATCCAAACAGAAGTTAACGGGATGTTACTGTTTATAGGGAAAACGAAAAAGTATTGAGACAGGGATACTTAAATGAAAGATAAAACATAGAAACAGTGTACACTGTACTGATTTACCCTTAGATACCGTAACTGAGGCTGGAAATCATATCTCATCCCTGACAACCCAATTTGAAATGGTTAGACTGTACTATATACATCACACTCATAGATAAACTATGTTATTATTATTTTATGTATGGTGCAATGTATTGCAAAATTTTGTTTTACCAAAATAAAGATTTAAATTATATGAACTATTTAAGAGTCTGTTTTACAATCCCATCTCACATGTACAAACTATGTGTACCTAGTGATTGGAGTAAAACCTAAGCTTAATGTCGCTAACTTCACTTTCTGCTGCACTTACCAGGAAGTAATATTTAGCTCCAACAAAATTACAGTTCCCCATTTATTCTTATCATAACAAAATACAAATGTACATCTCCCTCACTATACAGGACTGTGTCACGAAATCCCTTTATATCAACAGATAGAAGCACTATGACAAGGATTTACTGTATAATGGTGGCAGTAAAAACTAAGGCAAAATATTAACAAAGAAAATAATTACAGGGAGACCCTTGATAAAGTACCTGTAGAATATCACCAGGGCCTGTATTCATGAAACCCTTGACGGAAGAAACATTTTGAGAAGAAGATGTTATAGATTGATCAAAAGATCTTTTGAATTTTTCCAAAGGGACTATTTCAAGCTAAGTTAAAATTACATGTATCTGCCCCTGATAACTTTTGTTTCAGAAGTGTTACGAGACTTAAGCTGCTGTATTAACTTTTTTCAATCCCTTATACATCTGGGGTTATTACTTTGAATCATTAACCTAATTACAGCATGGTGGTCGAAAAATTGAATATCAGCCTGAAAGTATTTTTCTGAATAAAAGTCGTATTTTTTGCATCGTAAAACTTGGGAAAGAGCATTTTCATTTTCTTTCATGTAGTGCTTTAATAACATATTTATCATCCAGAATGTGAGTTTAATCGAACATTTTGTGAACATTTTAATGAAAAATATAGGATTTTTTATTCTTATTATACTGTATACCAAAAATTGTCATAGTATGAAGAAGTGGTGTTATTTCAAATATGTATGCAAAATGTCAGTCCAAAAAAAGTAGTGGAAAGTATTCATTTCGCACAACAAAATATCCTGTGTACCCAGAAAGGTAAGGGCCTAAGACACCTCCCTGGCGTCCACCAAAAAATAATTACAGATAATTGGTAATAATATTCGTTGCAAGCCTACAATAAACCTTTTAGTGCATGTTAGGTCACAAAGATTCCAAATTCCAATTTATTTCATCACTTTCATCAATTTTGAGATCAAATGTAATTTTCTTGTCACTTTTTAGAATTTGTTCTTATCCGTTTTGTTATCATTCTTAATTACATTTCATCAACAGACTTTCGTTTTTACATTGCTTTTAGGGGATATTTCTAATCGTTTGTTAATAATCATCTCATAATGAAGAATAAATGTATTGGTGAAGGTCGCCATCGTATCTTCGCGAAATCTCGTAAATGTAAAAACTCCATAATATCAAAGCTTTTGGATATACTGATAAAAAGTGTCATGGATTACTCAAATGAAGAAGTTAGAATCTGGTCGAAGTGCTACATACGGTATCTGCGCAAAAGAGAATCTGAAACAGAACGTTTTGAGGATGAAACTACTAGACGTTTTCCTCTCTTAACAATCACGGACCTGTTTTACGGGCCCTGTTCACATAAAAAAATATTGTCTTTGTTTTAACAATTTGAATTTGAAGGGAAGCAAATCAACACTTCTGCAAAAACGTGCCAGGCATCAGTTAATTTTCACACATAAATTGTGGT